AAAAATAAAAAAGAAAAGTAATATTTTAAATTACTAAGAGAGAAGTGTTCTATTCAGTAAAATATATCACGTCAAAAGTTTTCGCGTAATATTCTAGCTATTACATAAAGGACAACACTTTTTCATATTTAAGACTACAATAGCATGAAACTTTTGATATGACAGTATAAGAAATCTACGATATTGTTAAGTTCTTATTTTGGAGTACGTTTAAGTTCTTATTAGTTATGGATACAACTGTCTACTGACACGGTGTACAATGGGATTAAACTGAAGAATTTTTCAATATATACGAAGAAGAGAACCTTTATTGCAGAGATGTAATTATTAAAGATGAGATTCAACCCATGCAGTGGATCCAAAAAAGAAATAAATTAAATTTATAAATTAATGGAAGGAAGAAAGAAGATTCTCTATGCCCCTCTACTTCTATTTTTTTAAATAAGTTTAAATCGGTTAGCGATTATCATTGAATAAGTTTGTTTAGTTTGAGTTAGGTTAAAAATATGAAAAAGTTTATTTTTTTTATTAATCTTTCGGTATTTGATGATTATATTGAATTTCAATTAATTTAAATCCGGATCACGTCGAACTTTATAAAAAAAAATTCTTTCAACATCTGTTTTTTATATTATAAAATTTAAACTTAAAATTTTATTTAAAAATAATTGAACTCTTTCACTTAAATGTTAAACTCAAAATTTTATTTAAAAGTAATTAAACTCCTCTATTTAAATCAACAAATCATTGCTAACACGGAGAGTGTTTACACCATCACCATCTTCAAATAAAGTATTTTCCATGGTAGCACCACAACACTTTAAACGAAAGAATTTCCTCTTTACAAAAATTCATAACTAATTATTGTTCTAGCCCACATGCTACTTCCATTAGTGCAAGTAGTGCAGAAGGTCATGTGAATTTTGACAATGACTGCCCGGTAAAATGGGTAAATGTGCCGACAGAATACGTGGCGATGATTCGGAATGGGGTAGGGGGTTGCATGATATCTTACATCAGATTCTTCTGTTTCTTCGCACGTGAGTGAGATGGAGGAGGAAGAGGAATCTGTCCATATAAAGATTAAAGGCGCGGCTGCAGCAAGCATGTGATGAAAGGAATCTGGTAGTTATGGAAGTTAAGTGTCAACAGTGCCATAATAAAAGCTAGGGCCAAATTGTCAGACAAGAAAGTGTTTCAAAATTCAAATGCCATTCAATTGTAAAACACTAATAATTAGTTAAAGAAGGTACCTGATATCAAGAAACGATCTTCTATATTAATATATATATATATAATATCTATTTTATAATTTAATATAATGCAGATTACCAAAGCTCTAACTAAATGCCAAAAGCCACGAAACAAACACTAAATGACAACATGCACACATGCATGATACATGCGAAAGATCTCATGTCATGCGTTGTAATCGATGACATATATTAGAACAACGGCATGTTCATTGGCTTCATTTAACGGGATGAATACATATAAGGATCATACATCTAAAGAATATGTTTTTCTGGGTTTTTTTGTCTAATTAATCTAATTACATGTGTCTATAAATGACTCCTTCTATAGGGATAGAGAGACTCGAAACTTTCATACCAGCTCATTGGGTTATAAGAAGTGGAATCTGTCAATCATATATCTGTGTTAAATGTCAACATTTGGACACAGTATAATTTACATGAAAATTACGGGCCAAGCAAACACACAAGCATGGGTGGTTAGCAACAAATCTCCTTTTTGAGAAAGAAACGTATCTCTTTCAACAAGGCAAATCTGAACTGACTCGACTAGGAATGGGGAAGCTGGCAATTATTAATTTTTGTCCCCGATAAATTTTACAAATTTTACTTGGCTAAATGTGCCAATTGTTCCTTGATATTTTCAAATTAAGCTAAATTAATTAGTAACTAATAAAAAAGTTAAAATAAATTATCACTTAAATATTTTATTTTAATGAAACCGTTAAACATCAAAAACAACAATTTAACCAAAAGATAATTATGTTGACCTCAACTCATAACTCCGAGCCAAATTCTTTAAAATAAAGTTTTAATACAGTAATTGGCTTCTACATTTTTTTTTTAGTGCTAATTTACTTAAAAATATTAGAAAGCAATTTGCACCTTCTGTTGAATTTAGTCCTTTACAATATATTTGATTTGAGAGAAACAAAAAGTAAGAGAACAAAAGGATAAATAAAAAAAATTTTAAAAAAATAAAAATAATAGTTTCCTTTCCCTTCCTTTTAATTCTTTTAATAAATAAATATAAAAATTTCCTATTTTTCCCTCTATTTCTCTTAACTTCTCAAACATACTTTTAAATTTCCATGATTTTGTCATTCCGCCTGACCTAATTGAAACTAAAACAAATGACAGAAACATCAATATCACAAGTTGTAAGATTAGGTAACTGTCTAGAATGCGCCTAATGGATAAAATCTTATCCAAATTTTTGGATTTGACATAGTATAATACGGGTTTAAAGTGACATTGCAAACAGATGTTCAGGTTCACAACTTATTTTGGATGCCGGAAGAAGACAAATGGAAAAGGAGAAAACACAACCAATGTTCTGTGCCGTATTCGTACATCTTCCACGCAATGGTATTCCAGATACACCGTCACCTTCTATATATGCGTCTAATGTCAAAACACACTGCACCTAAATGCTTCCTTCGACCTTCCTATCGCCTAATAACGCCAAATGAAGGTTCTTCGATTAGTCCACAGTCCACACACACACACAAAAAACAAAAAATAACAAAAAGAGCGAGAGATGACAGGCAAATTTAATACAGAAAAAAAGAATGCATCAAGTATATCAGCCCATGCCCCGCAGATGAACTGAGACATTTCTTGGGCCGGGCAAGCACTGTTTTTCCTGGCTATGTCCAATATTGGCCAATTCTTCAATTACAGAGGCCAAGTCAGGATCTTTCTTCCAATAAAACTATACCAGCTCCTCAACCTGAGAGGAAATATTACTAGTAACCATAATGCAATTTATTCTTCTCCAAGTGATATTTGATGTAGCTACAGATAGCAGAGTAAACACACCCCCCATAGCCCTTTGGGAATGGGAGAAGGAACGATGAGTGACATATAGTCATAAACTATCTTTTCTGGTGGTGATCATTCATACCACTTCCAGTAAATGCGCAGGGCAGTCAAAAAGAAGTAAAACTATTCCTTGCACTTCAGACTCAGTATGATTGTGGTACTCTCTCTCAAATTGCAAGTAATTCATTAAAACCAAAACCCTAAGTGGGTTAATATACATAATACGTACTCCCAAGCCAAAATGTTAAGTGAAGGTATATAGATAATTCTCCCAAGCATACCAAGGGCACTAAATCCTTATATACGGTTTAAGAGGGCAACAAGAAACAAGTATCACTAGCTGAATGTCTAGTGTAATGTAGGAGTAACCAAGCTACTTACATCATCAGCTTCTCTTCTCACACCTATTCTATCCTTTTATTGTTGATCCGAGTGTGTTGGGACTTGGGAGTTGGGGTTAAATGAGAACAAATCCAGATGTTTCAGGTTTCAAGCTCATTATAAAAGATATGATAGACCTCCTGCTCATGTTGAGTGCTTATCCAGTTCAATAATTATGAAGTTTTCTTAACCAAATGTTGAGATGGCAAATGGTGCATTTTCACAATCATTAGATTTTCTTGCCTAATTAAGTAGTTGATACTAGAGATGTTAAAGCCATTTTGAAACCAACTAACAAAGAAGCCAAAATTATTGCAGGGTACTGTCACAACAAGGCAAGAGTAACAGATGGACACTAACTAAATTATAGCCACTAATGGGCATCACGACATATTCAAAACGAAATAGCAACCCTGTGTCTCCATAGTGACATTTGAACTCAAGAGTATCAATGCTTTGACCATTGAATGTAAGGTTTAATTAATCCAATGAGACAATTGAAGTTGGATATTTGGTTTTCCTTGTTTAATATTTGTATTTTGATCTTTATTAATATCTGAGATTGTGAGGGATGTGGTTTTGTAGTTAAATTATGGGGAGTACTCCTTATACTCTCTGCATTTAAATAAAATATTTCATTTGCTGATAAAAAAAAAGAAAAAAAAGAAAAATCCAATGAGACTATTAGGATGCTAAAAATAAATATCATTAGTTGTTTGATTTGCATAGGAAAAGAGGGCGAAGCCAATGTAATTTCTGTCAGAACCCACTTCTAAAAACAAACTACGCAAGTGTGCCAAATTTCATGTTACTGTAGTGACAGTGGCGGAGCCAGGGGGTGCGAGGGGGGGCACTCGCCCCCCCTGAAATTTGAAAATCTTGCCAATTAGTATATGAAAAATTATCTAGCCTCCCCTGAACTTTGAAAATTTTAGTATTTTGCCCTCCCTGAAAAAAATTTCTGCCTCCGCCCCTGTGTAGTGGTGATATGCAAAATAAAGACTTCTGACGAATCTTGGTATTTCACAACAAGAGAGAGAGAACTTAAGAACATATTGACAAAATATGTATGCTAATATACAAACACCCTTCAATATGTAAAAGTGCAACTTGACAATTGCAAGACATGCAAATATAGAAACTTAAAGAACACTATTTACCTTTCACTTAGTAAAAATCGAAGAAGAAGATCCTCAAGAAGGCTAGTATAGAAATGGAAGTTCCTCCAAAAAGACATATTTGAAGAACTTTTCTCCTTCTCCTTGGGCTTAGTGATGTGAAGTCACATAGAGTCACCTCCAAAATTGATTCACCATCTAGAAAATATACCTATAAAAATATAATTAGAGAGAGAGAGAACTTAGAAGGCTGTTAAGAATAACAGGACTGCTGCATTCAAACCACTGAAAAGAGATCAAATCAGTCATTTAAACAAACCAAAAAAGCCTCTAAAGCAGCCTGACTCAGATTCTAGAGACAAATTAAATTTTATTGAATGCTCTTGGGTGCAGCGAACTGCCTAAAAGAAAAACCTAAAGATCACAGGCAATATAGCATGGCAATTGTTGTATTGAACATGAAGTCAAACAAAAACACTTATCCCTCAGATAGACCTCGTTCAAGTGTAACTTATTTCTATAATCACCTTAAACTGCAATATTTTCCAACAATAAAACTGTCCAATTTAATGTACATTTCATTTGTAGACCTTTATCTCTTTATAGAGGGAAATTGGTTAAAAAAAACCCCCCTAGCCAGAAAGTCTTCTACCTACAATGCACCAAAAAGCCACAGGAACACACTCATCATCTTACAAATTATGATTATTAAGTTTTCCTAATATAAACAAGTTACCCAGTAGGCAGCTTATGTGTGTGCTTGGTGTGCTATGCAGGCAATTAGGAAATATGCTCCTACAGAGCTCATCTTAACATTAAAGAAAATGGTCTGAATACTTACTGGCAAGCTGTTGAGAAGAGCTAGTGTTAATGATACATGGAAAGTGCATATTAGGCACCTTTCCAGAAATTTTGGAAGATATGCACCGAAAGCAGAATTCCACCGAGGCCAATATGCAGTTAACTGAACTGTGTGCACCATAGATACCACATCACCAATAAAAACAAAAGATCCAACACAGTTCTGTTCTACAATGTCAGAATTATTCATATTTGAATAGGAACTCCTTCTAAGTTGCAGGCATTCTGAAGAATAAGGCCTTGAATATGTAATCTCAACCCAAATTAAACCTGGCAACTGAACTGGACTTAAGCAAGACTCATCCTACAGATATTTAAAGAAAAAACAAAAGGAAGAAAAAGAAGAAGAAATTAGTACCATTGAAAAATATATTGTCATCATTGTTGAAGCAAACAAAAGAAAAGAAAAAAATGGCAAGATTGTTGACATTAAAAGATTTGAAAGTATACCTGGGAGCACATGCAAGTGGTTCCCTTTGTTGTTGCTTTTATCCACCCATCCCCACACTTATCAAGCTTAACAACCTCCTTTGCATTCAAACAGGTTTGACTTCCTAGTCCTATGTTGTTCTGAAGACCATCATGACCAGCCATATCTTTTGGCTTACTTGAATCAGAGCAATCAATACTCTCAAATGCAACAAGTTCATTAGAACAGGTAGATTGATTATAACTGAACATAATCTTCATGCCCTCTTCGAACAATGAATTAGGGACACAGTAGCCCTTTCTGCCACCAAATGCTCCAAAATTTTTTGAAGAAATAGATAAATTTGTAAGCATTTTTCCACCTAGAAGAGCAGTCATATCCCTCCAGTCTTGTTCATCATAGATGTGTATACCATCCAATGACACTATAACATCCCCAAAGGACAAAACACCATATAAAGGTGATGAAGAAGCTACATCCAAAACCTATTCAAAGTAGAAAACAAGAGAAACTTGTTAAGTCTGGATGATGATTATGTGTGCTGTGTTCATGCATGTGTAAAATAAAAGGTTAAAACAAGAATGTTTAGTAAAGTACCAAAGGGCTCTCAGCATGCACATAAACAGGAAACAGGATAAAGGGCAGTAGAAACAAAATCAATCCACAAACTGCACAGAACTGCAAAAAGAAAAAGAAAAGGAAAAAAAAAAAAAAAAATCCAAGGCACATTAGATTATCCAGTGAAAGAAACGGACTAAACATGAAAAGTTTCACACAACTGGAACCAATTATGAGATAGAAATACACTAAATTGCAGACAAGGCAAGTGAAAAACAACATTCTGTTTAGCATCATTTAGTAACTTACCACTGCATTATGCCAAACACCAGCACAATATATGCGGAGAGCAGTGAAGCGAGGTAATGCTTGTAACAAGTCGTAATCCAAAGCAACAAGAGCACCAGGGAACAGGAGTACAATAAAAACAGCAATGTATTCCAACCTAATGCCATCACTGCTACTCCAATCAAAGAAGCCTAGAGTACCAAACATGAGAGTCTATCGTTGTGTATTCTCAAAAATCTCAAGTAAACAAAAAAAGAATCCATTCAGGCAATTTTTCTCAACCTAGGCGACTCGTTGCCTACAATAGGATGATAATCGAGTACAAAAATGAAACGGAGACCTGGCAGCTGCAACAGCGTGACCAAATTCATGGACGGAGACGGAAAGCAAGGTAGAGAAGACGAACAATCCAGCATCAGCCAATGATATCGTTCTCAAACCAGACAGCTGATAGAAGCAAAGGAAAAGCAGATCAAGCTATGAATCAGTATAACATATTAACAAAAAATATATATATCAAATCTGAAATGCTAACCGAGGGGAAAATGCCGAGACTGCCCAGCGTTTTGCTTCCGGAGAACAGATGCCATAAAAGAATCTGGTACATAACGATGAAAATTGGTGAGAAACGGTAGTGTGAATTTGCGATGGAGAAGAAAAAGGGAACGAACATACAAGAGTTGCCAGGAGGAGAGCGGTGAGACTGAAGCCGACGCCGACGGAAAACCAGACTCTGAGAAATGCGGCGTGTTTCCGTCCGAAACGAAAGAGAGGATCGTTGAAGACATAGATTTTGAAGTCATAATAGCAACAGGGAAGCGTTTTGTTAGGCGGAGGAGGAGAAGAGCGGAGAGGAAGGAGAGTATGAGCGTGGCCCCTTCTGTACCTTCTCAGCCGCCTTCCTTCCATCATTACTGACTTCCCGTTTCTGATTGCAAGAAAACTTTCTGATACCAACCAAACGCCGCTTAAAGAAGAGAAAATTCAAGCGGCCCAGTCCAACAAATTTTCTCTTGCGAAACATGGGCCAACTGGACTGGAATTCGGTGGGCCTTTTGGAAACGGAAGTTCCATCGAGATCATCTCATTCCAGAAAAAAATAACGTTGGATTGGATCCGTTGGTGTGGTGTTTATACTCTATAGATTAGGTCAATGGGCCAGCATTCAAAAGAAAACAAATTCATTAAAGCCTGTTTGGTTCCATGTCAATAAATTTCCTAGAGAAAATTGTTAAAGAGATTCAGCATAAAAATTAAAAAAATTGTGAATAAAATTTTTCCTAAAAAATATATTTACGAAATAAAAATTGTGATAAATAAGAAACTTTAAAATTTTTTTATTATACTATTATACTATTTGAAATGTTTATCAGCTAGATTTATAAAAAATTAGGCAAAATAATATTTTAAAATTATATTATTTTAATAAAATATTATAAAAAAAAATTAAAATATCCACATCTCTACTTTAAAAAGAATTAAAATATTTTAATTTTTTAAATAATATTTCATTAAAATAAAATAATTTTAAAATATTTTTTATTTAATTTTTTTAATATAAATCAATACTCAACTTTTAATTTAAATATATAACATTAAAAAAAAAATAAAGGGAAATTTCTCCAAACCAAACAGGCCATACTACTAAGTACGGCTGCCATTTGAGGTAGCGATGGTGAAATAAGTCTGATCCACATGCAGAAACGTTGGCGCTGACACCCTCGCTGTAAATTTTTCCCATTTTAAAAATCTCTGATTCCGGAAATTGGAGAATCTGCTTTGGAACTGGAACACTTCTCACCACTTCACTTCCATAAAGACCCATAAATTTGCTCTTCTAATAGCATGAGTGTCCGGACAATTGACCCCACTAGTTTCACACAGCAACATGATTTTAGTGAAAATTTACACAAAGCCCTGCAGGTGTCCATGAAGAATCCAGATATACTGCTGCTATATGTATCGTCGCCTACTCCACTTCCAAAAATTATATTCTTTGGTGGACTTCCCAATTCCCATTGGAGCAATTGAAGCTATAGAGGCTGCATATGGTGCGGTAGTGCAAATTCTTGATCCCCTAAGGGATGGCTTTAATCTCACGCTCAAACTCAACTTGTCGATATGAAGGTTCAACGAGTTCCTTTTCTAAGGTCATTATGAGCTAGCAAAATGTATATGCTACAACTACTTAGCCTGGGTTGTTGTCAAATATTTTCCCAATTATTTGGTTGTTGTTGGTTCTTGATCAGTTTTAAGTTTGGTGCGAGGGAGACTTCTTGTAGACCAGCAATTCACAGTGTCCATACTCTCAGTTGATGAATTATAATCTCTAGAGTCTAGGGGGGAATATTTGATGCTTTTTTAGAACCCAAGAAGGATTTTGATTCTAAGATGCCCTCATGTTATTACGAGGACCGATCTAGGGATCTGTGTAATATGATTGTTTTGTTTGTTTGGCTCGAAAAAATTGTGCGGTATACAAAAAGAGACTACTTTCCAGTACCCTGCCTAGACTTCTTGTTGCCTGACTCATGACTAAGAGAGAACCAATGGTTTATTTCCTGGATAGAATTTGTGAAAAAGGAAAATGTAGTATCAGTCTTATAATACATTATGACTAAAATGGCTGTGACTGTTGTACAGCATGCAGTAGCTTACTGGCCACCAAATGAGAAAAGTGCTCGGAAACCTAAAATCTGGGTTCTATATCCAGGTTCTCCTTCCCCGAAATTCTCTACCATAAAAAAATAATAATAATAAAGGCTGTGACGGCTAATTTTATTGATGAGCAGGGAATCCATTGTTGTAACGTGCGTATTTCTGTGTGTCGTGTCTAATTTGGATTCTTTTAAAATATAAATTCCTTCTTATTTGCCATTCATCTGACAGCCTCTGTTCTTGACATCGTGCAGATTACAAACATAGTCTTTTGGTGAAGGTTGCATCCATCAGGGAAGTGGTATTGGGTGCCCCTTTAAGGGTAATTTTATAACATCTTGCTTCCAGGAAAGTCGCTCTTGTTTTTGACTAGCTTGTTTCTCTTGTGCATTGGCCAGACGAGTCCTTTTGTCCTTGTTCCAATGGTATCATAAGTAATTTGTCTGTTCTAACGGCGTGAATTATCATTTGCAAACTTTTTACTTCATTTCTTACGTCCATACAATCGTCTCTGATGCAATACTGTTGATTTTAGACCAAATGGTAGTATTGGACTTTTATATATTTATACTTTTAGACCAAATAGTTGTATAATTGTGTCAGACTAGATAGTTTTTGTTTCCATCGTGTTTTCTGTTTTGCATTTCCTCTATCTCAGCATGTGGATTTATTACTTTTGAACTGAGTTATTACATTTAAAGAGATTCTGTTCTTGCAAGTATTCATCCATGTATCATGTATGTAATTTGATTTCTCATGACTCCCTTTTTTTCTTTTAGCTAATTCTCCAAATCTACTTTACGTGCAATCTTGCATTAAAGTTTTATTCCTGTGCCATTTTGAAAAAAGAAGTGCTATCCTGCAATCTGCATGGGAAATCACTTTCTTTTAACTGGTGGAAAATGTCACAGGGGCGTTTCCAATGAGATTCAAGGACTCCACAGATACTGTCTTTGCTACTTCCTTCCTGAAGGTATGATGAGGATAAAATCTTTGATCCATTTACTGATTGACTTTCTTATACCTTGCGGTCATGAATTTCATGTTTGGAATATATAAAATCCCCTATAAAATTTCCTAGTCACTTTTATAACTATAATTTTACGTTACTGTGGAATGGCAATATGCACGATGATTCTGTTCTTCAAGTGCTGAAGCTTTCAAGTAAAACCTTTCTGGTATACATCCTTTACAGCCTTCTTGGACAATTGTATTTTTCTCTTCCTTATTGTTCAGGAATTTGTGTTGTCAGGGCTTACAGGTGGACTTAATAATGCTCCTCGATTGTGGTCTCCTTCTACACCTATGGAACTAAATGGAGCTCCTGAGGACGCATTATCTGCAAATGCAGAATTTGTGAGTTTTGGTAATCCCAAAGACTTTAGTTTCTCACCCTTTTTGAGACAAAAGGGAAAATTTTTCGAGTTCCTTTATCCCTTTTGGTTGCCAATATGGCAACTCATATTTTTTGAGCTGATAACAGTAATATTTCCTTGCCATGTTGAAGGAAAAAAATTGGACCATACCGTGTCGAACTCGTCAACATTTAATGCATATGTGAATGATAATATCATGTTAAGGTAAACCACTCCATATATATTTTAAAAATTGCTCATTGCATATGTTTCACATTTCATGCATATGCAGTTCTTCCATATTTTTTACTAGTATTGTTAAACACTAAAATTAATAAGGCTAATCTGAGTATAATATATAATTACATTAATTGTGATCATGAAATTCAGTTAATACTTGTTCCACTGGTTTTTTAAGTTTCTGGTTACATACCATTATAAAATTTTTCAGTTAATTTAAACATGATTGTTCATCCTGAATGACTTGCAAAAACATGTTTGTCATTGTCCATCATTTTGCATTATGCAGATTGTATGTGGAAAAATATTTTTGTGTATTTTCACCATGAATATATCCTGGACTACAGACTATATCACAGTGCTTAGAGACATGTTGAGATTTGGGTTTTTACCTGGTTCAGCATGCTTTATGGTGGCTCTTCTAATCTCAGTTTGTTCCCTGCATATATTATCTCAGTGCTCAGAGGGATTTATGCATACCCGGATGCAGCAACTTGTGGAGTCTTTAATTCAAGTAGGCTTTGCACAGTCTTCAACAGCCATCCATTCTTTGAGGTTACTTTAATGCTTATAAGAAATCTACCTTATTTTGCAACAGGCTCTGAATCGTGCCAAACCGGATTCAGAGGAATCTAAGAAGACAGCAAATACCAGATCTTTCACAAAGGTTGGTATGTTATGCAAATCCATTCTAAGGATGTTTGATAAGCCACGTTTATGCCCCCTGTATGGTCTTCAATGTAAGATGTTGACTTTAGAACCACAAAGACAACAGCAGTTAATGCCTGACTCCAAGAAGTCATTGGCGACGAACTTCCTTGCGTGTCCATCGGGACTGATTGATACTGGTGCTTGTCTTTTCTTCCTTACATTGAAACAAAATAAGAATCATAGAGTAATGATGGGGGGACGAAATCGGGGACGATTTTGGGGTACGACAAGTTATGCAAGGGTCAAATTAGTAATTACACAACATGCATGAATCCTCCCATCACTTGTCGTCTCCCAAAATCGTTCCCCAATTTCATCCCCTCCATCATTATTCAAGAATCATATTATAGTTTCCTATATGCTATGGACAGAGTTCTTAGTCCTGTTTGACCAAAATGCTTTTGTAAGTTGCTCAATTTTGTCATTTTACACGTGAAATAAATCTTAACAACCACACATCGTTTAGACATGATGTTAACCTCAATACCAGTCCACCACGAGTGGCATCTTCCAAGAAAAGTATACCAATACGCGCCATCATGCTTTGTAGGGCAACCCTCTACCAACTCTCTACTTTCCAGGCAGTTTCGTGCACCTTCAATTGAGGTTTGTTGTCTTTTTCAGTTCTTTTGTCTTCTGAAGGCAAGACCAATTTATTCGTGGCCCAGACAATTTGGCTGGTTGTTCTTAATTCTCACTACTTTCTGCTTTTCATAATGCCCTGACTAGAAAGAAAACACAAAAAGAAAGACTTCAAAGAAAAAAATGCGTGTTAAATGGTTCAACTACAAGGGAAAAGTAGGCGGCTTGTTGAATAAACCTAATCACTTCTTGGTTTCTTAGTCTCATGGTCATCAGTTCCTTGTGGTAAGTTTCAAATTGCATAAACTTTGCCTGAACTGCAGTGTCTCTAGGATGGATGATACAACCATTAATCGTGTGGTCTGATTGTGGAGTTACCTATGTTTTTAATTACATATTTAGGGTTCAATCCCTAATCTTTAAAAAAAGATTGATGATACGACGGGGAAAGATTTGTTTACTCAAATTTTAAGAATTAGTGTAAATTGTTAAAAGAAATAGCATTTTCCATTGATGAGGGAAAACTGCAGAGCAGCTTTGTACAAGGAAGAGCAAGAACATGAACCAAAGAATTATAAATGCCTGAAAATCATTAACAATAAAAGAGCACCAATCAATTACCATTTTGGTGGCACGCTTTATATACAAATTCCAATTCTGAAGGCCGTGGATGCCAAAAACAAACAAAAAATGCAGGCATCCTTGTCTGTTGTTGCTCAAAACTCACTGCTTCAAGGCATCCTATTTGACCTACCAAACAATCAGCCATGTCCTCTCTTCTTCTCTACATAAAATTAATCGGAATCACTATCCATGCTCTCCATTCCTTTCAACCCCCGTCGCCGCTGCTGCACATAAAGCACATCATCAGGTATCATGTTTGATTCACACCCACCTCACATGATCTTCTAAAAATGCATGATGCACAAAAAGATTTTAAGTAGAATTTATATACCCAGTAATTCATTCCAACTATCCTAGACAAAGCCTCCATTAGGTAGGGTATAATATAACATAATGGGGTCCATGAATAGACCAGGCACACCACGTGCTTCCCCCAATAAAACTCAGGAGCTAGATTCATGAAGCAATCTAATCTAACTTGGTTATTTAGTGATGCCTACCTACCTGGTTGTAGAACAGATGAATTTGAATTGTAGATATCTAAGGATGAATTCATTAGTGCAGAAGACTTGTAATAAGAAGGCAAAGAGAAGCCGAGCTACCTTCTTTGCAGATTTCTTCTCTCTAACCTCATATCGGCTCTTTGTCAAATCTGACAACCACATCCCTGGAAAACAATACTGCCAAAAAGCACAATAAATCACATGTCTACCATGTTCCTCTCATAAACAAGGCTTATGAAAAGTAATACCTGCAGGATTTTATCAACTTGCTTTGCTCTTTTCTTTGGTCTCTGTGGCAGCTTGGTTCCTTTCATTGCTAAGAAATCATCTTCCTTCTCCTTCCTTGACAGTGCAACGTAAATCCTAGGCCACTCCATCACTTCAGCCTTCCCCTTTTCTCCACCTACCGAAACAGTTCCAGTTTCTTGTCCTGATTGAACTGGAGCAGAAACAACATGATTGAACCGATCAGCTACACCAACTTGTCCATTTTGTTTCTCATCTTTAGCTGAACCAGAACAAGATTTCTTTCTATCAGTGGTCTCTGGAGGAGGAGACCGTTTTCCTGCCGTAGATCTAGAAACAGATCTACTGCCACCACTGTTTCTTGATGGTGACCCATTTGCAGCAGCTGATCGCTCTTCTAAATTCCTGGGCATGACCAACAAAAGATGTTTGGCTGGAGCTCAATGGGTAAGCAAAAACTGGGTAGTTTTATAACTGTGAAGTGTAGATGAAGTTTTACAGATACCAAACACATGCAAATCAAGATATCAAACCGCAGCCAACAGAAAAGACACGATTTAACACCCACCTAAAGGAAGAAAAGCATATTACTATCTTGGAAAAAAGGAGGATTTAACAAGAAAGAATTTTCAACATCATATAAGGTTCCAATTTCCAAAACAAATACAAAAAGAAGAATAAAAGAAAAAAATGGAACTCAAAGACATCCTATTCCTATCACTTTCAAGATGGAGAGGGTTAGAAAAATCAAAACCAATCTGTCCTAAACAAGTGGCAGAGGACAAGATATTGAAACCACCAAGTTGAGCCAAGCAAAACCAGAAGGCGAAGAAAACCACCAAGGAAAGCATGGACTTCCTTAGACACCCCACAAAGTGAAGGAAGATGAGGGATCATGAATTTTCTACTCCTTTATAGGGTATAAAGGTAAAAATATACTGAAAAAAAAATAAAGAAAGAAAAAAAAGGAAAAAAAACAGTAATCTACCTTCTACAACTGATTTGAGGCTTTTCTTCCTAAAGACAAGATGCAATCCCAAAGCAGTTCTAAGAATCACAAAACAAGATGCAATCACAAAGCTCTAAGGACATGGTGACTGGCAATAAGATATACATGTAATGATGTAAGAAGAAAAACAAAACGACTTCTGATGAAATTTATTAAATGAAACACAAAGAAAATAGCATCCATACATAATCATAGAGTGTCTCAAATTTTGAGAAAAATAAAAAATAAAAAAGAGAATTGTGAATGAACCTGTTGCCAATGAATCCGGGGTTTTCCTTGCTTGGAAGAGAACCACTTTTAAGATTTGAACTTCGGCTGTTGAGAGGTGCTGGTGGTGGAGGGGGCATGGCAGCATGTATGAGTCTTCTCTGCACCTTATTGCCCATCGTCTGCCTTGCTTGAATGGATGATGACAACGAATCATCAGTCACAACCCGGGTATGGGTATCAGATCTTGAGACTCTTGCCCTTTTCTTTTGACCCCACTGGAGCAGCACGTCGCAACGGTTGGGGCTAGCATCCCCTTTCTGGCTCAGCTGCTGGTTCTTAGGTCCGTCATGGGGTTGGCTTTCAGCTGCCTGTGTCTGTGGAGGAGAATTGGACAAGTTGTTGGTGTGGTCTTGGGTTCTAGATGGGGATCTGAATCTGAATCCCTTAGTTCCTTCAATGACCGTACAAGTGTTGGTGTTATTGAGGCTATCTTTTAGGATGCTTCTTCCGTTTTCAATATTGCCATTGCTACTGTCATCTTCCTTGAGCATTGTTGCTGTTAGTTTCGAGTTGGACTTTTTGGCATTGCTCAGAGGAGGACAATCTGGGTTTACCGTCTGAAATCTGTAAAACAAAAATAGCAGCGCATAAGAATGCAAGTCAAACTCAAATTCATCCAATTAGAAAGAGAATAACACGAAAAGATCGAGACTTGGAAATCAAACAAGAAACCCTAAACACAAAATTGTTGCCTTAATCTCAAAACTTCTTTTCCAACACAAATCATCCACAAGCAACATACCCAGGATGTGATACAGGGTAAGAAAGAGATAAAAATAATTGGAAACTAGATAAATCTATAAGAACAATATTGGATGGAGAAACAAGGAAGAGAGACAGGGCATCTGGGGAAAAAGGAAGTGAAAGAAACAGAAAGCATCTTCATTTTGTACAACAATTCATGGAAAAACAAGGATTTTGGAATTTGGCAATTGAATTGTTCCCCAGAGGAACAATATGAAGAAGATATCAGCTAATCTAAGCAAATCTAAATCAGTCCCAGAAAAGCATATTGAAGGGAAAGTTTAATTTTTCCAAACAAAGAAGGAAAGTTAAAAGTCCAAGTTGAGGGGATGAAGAAAGAGATGAAGTACAAGCATCAAACCTCATCATTATAATGTATGATGGATGAACAACTTCACTTGAATGAGTTTTTGAACAATTGTGTATGAGAAGAAATGATGATCTGAAGGGGCAAGGAGAAAAGACAGAGTGTAATGTGAGGAAGAAGAATGCAGCAGTTAGCAGTGGCCTTTTGGCCCTTCTCTTTCTCAATTCTCATCAGAGGTCTCTGTATTTCTACTTATTTCACACCATGCCTCTCTCTACACCTAATCTAATTTGGAGCAATGTGGACTAAGGTATCCAACTTGGGCTTGCATGCTCGAGTCCAACCCACACCCAATTCCAATGGACTCCTAGGCCCCAGCTTTTCTTTGGGAGGTTGATTATCACATGGGTCCATGTGAATGTTGCTTTGCAAGTGTTGATTCAGTGAAAAACTTTGTAAAAACAAACAAACAAACAAACAAAAAAAAAAAAAATCATTCAAAGACAAGAAAGGGGCTGCTGCAACGGATACTTATTAAATTTTGACATGAGTTTGGTTTGCCACTTAATATTGTAAAATTATAAAATAAGAATTATTAAATGGAAAAATAATCTCACAAGTTTATCTTATCAAATATTTTATATTATGTACTTTAAGATGTATGATATTTTTTTCATTTTCTTTTAAAATTTACAATCAGGATATTTTTATGTTAATTTTTGTATAGTTTGAAACTAATTACCTTAAAAGTAATCTTAAAAGCATAATTTCAAATGGATTTAATGCATTTTTTTTTATATAATAACTTCAAAACTTCAATTTTAAACCTAACTATAAAACAACCAACAAAGTAATTTCTTATTCATTCAAAATTTACTATCAAGATATTTTTAAGTTAACTTTTGTATAGTTTAAAACTAATTACTTTAAAAGTAAGCAAAACGAAAAATGAAAAATGAAAAAATCCTAATATGTTAGAACTTCCTTCAAACCATCAATCTACATAATAAATGACTTGATAGATGTTCTAACATGTCAGGATATCCTAAAAATATAGGAACCCTTAAAAATAATCTTAAAAGTATAATTTTATATTGATTTAATGCATTTTTTTATATAATAGCTTCAAAACTTCAATCTTAAACCTAACTACAAAACTACCAACAAACTGATTTCTCATTCATTCAAACCCACGCGAATCAATATATAACACTATTAATAATGCGTCAACATGATATAATCGTTACATGATAGATCTTCCTTGACAATAAACCATTTCTGCTAGAAATAAGAAATTTACGAACTTTTTTATTGGATGATTTGTGGATGTGATATAGCCTATTGAGAAAGGAGAGAGGGAAGATGAGAATATTCCCATGATGATAGTGGATGGAGCAGCATCATCAAAAATGAAAATGTCAGTGGACTTTGAAAGTCAGTATTCTTGGAGAGAAATGAGTGCCCTTGTAAAGTGAAAACTCTCATATGATATGCATTCTGGACATGGGCTTCCTCTTCCTAGCTATGATTTCTTCCCCTTTTTTTATTTTTTTCTTTATGATCCTCCCTAAATATGGTTCTTCGCTGCAATTTGCAAAGGCTTAGTGCTGAATTTTTTGAAAGCGAGAGAAACAGGGAGAAAAACAAAAGATTAATTAAAGGTTAAAACTCCATTTTGGTCCCTGAACTATTGTATGAACCCCTAATTTGGTCCTTAAACTTAAAACATCCCTAATTTGGTCCTTACTATTTATCATTTTTACTTCAATTTGGTCCTTTCGTTAATTTTTTCATGTTAATTGACAAAAAAAGCACTACGTGGCAAAATTAAATGACATGGCAATTTCCAACTCATCTCACTAAAAAAATTCCCATTTTTTACCCCTTTTTTTTTTCGTTCTTCTTTTTCCTCTTTCCCTTTCTCTTTCCTCTACCATTGTTGGGTTCTTCTCTTTCCTCTCCCCTTTCTCTTTCCTTTAGGTATTGTTTGGATTGGAGGTGTCGGACAGAGAGGGAGGGGAAGGGATGGGGACGGATGGCAAGGGAGGGGGAAGCGAGGGGGGGCTGTCTCCTTCCTCCTGTTTGGGTTTCCAAAGAGGCAGAGGGGGAGGGAGATGGACTGATTCAGACTCCCTCCAACCACCCTCAAATTTGCAGATTTGCAATCCGTCCGATTTTGGGGGTTTGGGAGGGATTTGAGTGGCTATTTAGATTAAGTTAAATGTAATTACAAAATTAACCTTAATTTTTTTATTATATCCTTCTCCATTACAAGTTTAAAGGATAAATTTTTAAATTTAAAATTAATTTAAATCTTTTCCTTCTTTCCCTTCCTTTTACCTTAATTATCCAAACATAAAATAATACAATCCTTCACTTCCCTTCCCCTTCCTCATTTTTATTTATCCAAACAAAATTAACACAAATCATTTCCTTCTATTTTCTTCCCTTCCCTTTCTTTTCCTCCCCCTCCATTTCCTTTTATTTTCCTCCATTCCCCTCCCTTCCCTTCCCTTCCCTTTACTATTTTCTATCCAAACAAGGGCTTACCATTGCTAGGTTTGATTGAACCTAGCGAATTTGCTGGGTTCGATTGAACCCAATGGATTTGCTGAGTTCGATCGAACCCAACGGATTCACTAGGTTCCATACCCAGCTAATCTGCTAGGTTCAATCGATACCTAGCGGATTTGCTAGGTATCTAACCTAGCAGATTTGTTGGGTTCCATACGCAGTAGATCCGCTGGGTTTGATTGATAACTAGCGGACTTGCTGGGTATCCATCCCAGCAGAACTGTTGGGTTCTCCAACCTAGCGGATTCACTAGGTTATTTTGAACCCCGCAGCTACTGGGTTTCAAACCCAGCAGCTGCACTAGGTTCTTCAAACCCAACAGGCCTCGGATGAGGCAATTTGGTTTGGTGATGACGATGAATTTGTTTGATGATGATGATGAATTTGTTTGATGATGATTGTTTGATTTAGAATAAATGAAGAAGATTCGAGAGGGAGGATGCTAAGGAAGAAGATAAGGGCCCTTTGCTGGGTTGTTTTGAACCTAGTAGCTGCTGGGTTTCAAAACCCAGCAACTCCACTGGGTTCGAAAGAACCCAACAAGCCTCAGATGAGGAAATTTGGTTTGATGATGACGATGAATTTTGTTTGATGATGATTATTTAATTTAGAATGAATGAAGAAGATTCAAGAGGGAGGATGTTGAGGAAGAAGATGAAGGCCATCTGTTAGGTTCGAGAACCCAACAGATCTTTTGGGTTTCAAAACCCAACAACTCCACTGGGTTCTTTCGAACCCAACAAGCCTCAGATGAGGCAATTTAGTTTGATGATGATGATGAATTTTGTTTGATGATGATTGTTTGATTTAGAATGAATGAAGAAGATTCGAGAGGGAGGATGTGGAGAAAGAAGATGAGGGCAAAATTGTAAATTTGATGAATTGAATAATTATATTTGTTTGATTAGGTGGCAAAGGTTTTTGGCCATGTCATTTAATGCGTTAAATATTTGGACACGTCATTTTTATTTCGTCAATTAACAAGCCACCTTAGTAAAAATTTAACGGAAGGACCAGGTAAAATGGTAAATAATATGGACCAAATCAAGAATTTTTTAAGTTTAGGGATTAAATCTAAAGTCCATATAATAGTTTAAGGACCAAAATAGAGTTTTAACCTTAATTAAAAGGTGATTGCTTTTCCATTTTTCCACGCAAAATAACAGACAGATATGGTCCCTTGCAACCAA